ATTAAATTCTATACAATATAGTTTCGAAATAAACGTCCTTCAAAATAAGGAAAGATCATAATAATTGTGTTTACACGGTAACATTCGTATTCATATCACGTAGCGCTTTTGAGGAACTTTTGTGACCTTGTTGATTGCAAATATAATATTATTTTTATGAGTAATAATACAGCAGAAAAATAGATTGTAGTTCTTAGCGTTAAGAGAAAATATTTTAACTACAAAAAGACTAAGGTATAGCAATTTTAGAAACCGAACTAAAATTTTAAGAAGCTGGATCTGGTGTGAGTTCAATGCTTAACACAACAGGACGATGGTAAAATATTATTTTCTATACCAGTGTATCTATGCGCCGTCGGCTCTATATACAGTGTGCATAGTGATACAAATACTTAATGCTACTTCCAAGGGTCAATTAATACTAGTGATGGCAGAGTAATACTGATGTGATAATAAAGTTTTGTAGTAATTATTACAATAATTACTACCAAACTTTATTGTAAACTAGCGACCCACCCCGGTTTTGCTTCGGTACGATCTATTTATGTGGCGTTATTTAGTTAAAAATAATCAAAGATCTTGTTCTTTTAAATCTCCAAGTTTATCGAATACAAGTGGTAAAATTAAAAATGTTGTACAACCGACTTCAATATAAATAAAATGAGAACATCATCAATGTAGTCGAATTCATTTAACTACACATTATTAAGGATAACTCAAAAACTACTGGTCAGATCTTGTACAATTTTGAATTATATGGGACCACATGAGAAGTACCACCTTTCAAATAAAAAAATAATCATCCAAATCGGTTCAACTAGAAAAAAGTTATGAGGTAACGCACATATAACAAAACAGTCGAATTGAGTACCTCCTCCTTTTTTTTGGAGTCGGTTAAAATATAGTCTAGATAATTTTTGATATTGCTCTCTATCTATTCCTGAAGTCTCATCTCTATGGGTTCACCCATTTCTTGAAATAAAAATAAAAATTGTTATACATGTCTAAATAGCTTGCAATTGCAATCCCACTCTATACTAACACTACACGCAGGCAAACAGAGCGATAAAACCATGGCGACGTATCCGTAGAATTCTGCAACTTCAGGGGACTTCACTCGAACCTTAACGCCGTCCACTACCACCTGGAGACGGCGAGGCCGGCCTTGCTCAATTTCACTGAGACGCAGGTGTCCTCTCCAGCTGGTACTTCGTACTTGTCCTACCCGGGGTACAAATTAGAACACTTCTTTGTGCCCTGAGCTGGAGTTTGTGTATATGTCATATCTGTTCTCGATGCCTTGGCAGTCTTGAAGGTCGAATGACGACGATGACCATCCCCGCGTCTACGGGTGGCTGTATAGGTTCCATACCGGTATTGCCGACACAGACCGACTCATTGACCACGTCCAAATGGCTACAGATTTCTTGCTACAAGATCCCATCCGTAGAGACCGTGATACTTGGCTATTTTAACACTCACTATGCCGAATGGCTCGGTTCACATTTACGATCATGCGGGAAGATCTGTTTATGACTTTGCCTAACATAACTGGTTACTTGGCCTACGCGAATTCCAGCCGTGGAGGATCATACAAGGTGTAGGATCCAGATCTCAGACTTAGTTTGGTCGCTTCTGTAAGACTGCATTACAGTAAGCAGGAGTGATATCAGTCCTGGGCTCGGGATGTAAATGTCTCTCCCTGGACATCCACAAGTACAGTGGGCCTGATGGGATCCTGTCAATTGTGCGGAGGACGTGCGCTCCAGAATTGGCACCGGTTCTAACGCATCTTTTCCGGTACTCCTTCTCCCTAGGCGTTGTCCCGAATTCATGGAAGACAGGTTTAAAAAAGGTAACCGCACTGATCCGTCCAACTACAGGCCTATCGCTATCACCTCCTTGTTCTCGAAAATAATAGATTCCATTATTAACTGCCAGCTCATGCGGTACCTAGAGGAGCACCAGCTGATTAGTGACCGCCAGTACGGTTTCCATCGGGGTCGATCAGCTGGTGATCTTCTTGTTTACCTAACACACAGATGGGCGCAGGAAATCGAGTCCAAGGGCCACCCCTTGGACTTTGGTGGTTAGTTTGGATATAGCGAAGACCTTCGATCGGGTATGGCAGAAATCGCTTCTTTCGAAGCTTCCTTCCTATGGCCTTCCCGAGAAATTGTGCAATTGGATCATTAGTTTTCTGGCTGATCGGAGCATCAAGGTCGTAGTAGACGGTGCATGCTCCGATTACTAGTCTATTAACACTGGTGTTCCACAAGGCTGCGTGCTATCACCAACGCTCTTTCTTCTGCATATCAATGATATGTTGCAAACCATAGTATTATGTGATTTATGTTTAATAATGAAACAAATAGGTATATGAATAGTAAACGCTGAAGTATACCTGTGTGTACGCTTTTGATATTTAAAACTTGCAACTTGTTTCTTCAACGCAAGCAAGAGTTAACACAACAAAACAACAAAACTGTACATTACATATGCGTTAACCTCTGAGTAGTAAGATAATTTGGCTCATTTAACTTATTTTTAACTGCCAACGTTTCGAGTGCTTTGCAGTACCCATAGTTACGGGGAAGGAGGAGGGTCTATATTCTATACGAAACGTCGAGACGATAGTTAAAAATAAGTTAAATATATAAAATGCAATCTTAGTACTCGGGCGTGGTAACGCATCATGCAAATGCGGCATCTGCATTTATATTTACATTTTTAATCCAGTGTAGATATAGAAGTCACAGTGTAGATATAGGGCCACAACACAGTATCCACTTAACCATAAGTTGGACGGTATACGCATTTGTCACCCTTTTTCTTAATTTTTATAAAAAAGTGAGACGAAAAATTTTACTAATGGTATAGAATTCTTTCCATGCAAAAGTGTACGAATATGTTTGACTACACGTATATAAACGTAGATTTTTAAACTGTATTTTGCACTGTAGTATAAAGTTCATGCGGGGAAATGATAATGTTAATTCTAGCAAGGTCGATTTTAGCATTAAGCATGCAGCCGGTACTCGTTATGCGGTAAACTTGCAAACCGCATGCAAATTAAGTGTTGATTGTTTTTGTCTTTAATTTGTGTCAATCTGCTGCCGATACAATAAATTTATTTTTGCATGAGTACTTGTTTCGATCCTTTGTACGATATTTTCCATATTTTTTATTTTCCTTTTAGTAAATACTGCGGAAGTTTTAAATATTGCAAACGAGCACACTAATGCAGTTTAGTGTGTTCGGAACATCGGAACCTTCAATCTTACTTTTTGTTAGTTTTAATCAATGTACTATATCGATGTTTCTTTCATTGAAAGTGTCGTATTATATTCATTCAGTAAATATATTTCAAAACTTGTACTTATAATCTCAGATAATCACAACAAGTCTTGAAGTGAGTTCACTATCGCAAGAAAGTTATAAGATATTGATGAACATAATAATATTTCGCCATTACAATGTAATTTCCATAAACTAGGTATATCTTAGCACAGATGTCTTAATATTTACATCTAAGATTTTATTAGAATCTCAGATTTACAAACAGGGCAGGGCCTGTATGATAAAAGCGCCCTTCATAAAAGCAGTATAGCAATATGATATGTCTGCGCCCCCTTGTCCCAAAAGAGGGTCGCTTCCGATTCGGCAGAAAGGCCTAATAAGCCAATGCCAGTCCCATAGGTGGTGTTCAGTGGGTACACTTTGGGTGGTAGGTTAGGCTAGTCACAGTGAGTCCCACATAACCATGACAGCCGGCTGTCGTGGTATGCATAAAGCATTCACCACCTCCTCGCGTTAACGGGGTAGCCCTTTTCAATTGCTTCTGGGCGCAAAAAAAGCAATATGATAAGAAATTTATACGAGCTACGCTGCAACACGAGTAGGATGACGCGACGAATTGCCCCGTGCTTACAGAACACCAGCGTAATTTTTTATTGGCAGCATTACCGTTTTTATTTTTAACGAAGATTTCTATCTTAGTCCTCGGGGGATGACTACACCTTTTTATATTTAATCTAGGATAGATGTATAAACCACAATATCCACTTACCATCATGCTGTATGTGCATTAATTCAATTATACATATGTAAAAAACAAATAAAATCTCATTGAAGTCTTAAAGTGGCTAAGTTAACAGTGGTAGAGCGACGCGGCAGCTTTTGCTGTCGCACGGATGGGCCGGCTCGAAGCGGGGTGGTACCACGACCTCACAGAAAACCAGCGTGAAGTAGCGGTTTACCTCTGCGTTTCGCTTGGTGAGTGCAGGTGGCCGGAGGCCCTTTTTACTGGAAATGAGGCATTCCATCTTAGTCCTCACGGGTGACAACGCATCTACATTTTGATTTGTAATAGAGGATAGATGTAGATGTCTATGGGCTGCAGCAACACAATAACAACTAGCTGTAGAGTAGAACTTTCTTTACGTGGTAGAGCCATGCTGCAGCTATATTAGTAGTATAGTTGTAGCACGAATGGGTCGGCTCGACCGGAGAAGGACCACGCTCTCACGGAATACCAACGTGAAATAGCAGCTTAACACTGCTGTGTTTCGTATGGTGAGTGTAGAGAACCGAAGACCCTTTTTACTAGATAAAAGGCATTCCACCTTAGTACTCACGGGTGATAACGCATCTGCATTTTGATTCGCAAACGAGGATAGATGTAGATGTCTACGGGTCACAGCAGTCACTTACCATCAGGTGGACTGTGTGCTCGTTTGTCACCCTATCCTATGAAAAAAAGTCATTGAAGTTGAATGATATTTAACTATCAGATAAATCTGTCATACCTATTGTAATTTAATTATACTAAGTCTATAACCTTCGCAGAAGTGCCAGCAATAAGTTAACAAAGTTTTAGCGCAATCTGATGAACGGTATGGCACCGCATAAAATACAAACAAACAAACATTTTTTTTAATATATCAGATTGCACGTATAATACTATAAGATATTCAAATGTTTATGATTTTGTATTTCAGATGAACTACATGCTAGTATTGTGTGCGTTGGTCGCAGTATGTGTTGCTCAGAACCAGACAGAACGACCTCAGGTCTCTGATACAGCACTAGAAGAGGCTCTCAACGACAAGCGATTCATTCAACGGCAGCTTAAGTGCGCACTTGGAGAAGCACCTTGCGATCCTATCGGCAAACGTCTTAAAAGTCAGTTGAATTTTACACTTCTCGACCTTATCATTCCTAATGACTGCGTAGCTAGTTAGTAGTAGCGTAGTTTTTACGTGGTAGAGCCATGTTGCAGCTATATTAGTAGTATAGTTATAGCACGAATGAATGGGTCGTCTCGACCGGGGTAGGACCACGCTCTCACAGAAATCCAGCGTAAAATAGCAGCTTAACACTGCAGTGTTTCGTATGGTGAGTGTAGAGAACCGGAGACCCTTTTTACAGGACAAGAGACATTCCATCTTAGTCCTAACGGGTGACAACGCATCTACATTTTGATTCGCATACGAGGATATGTAGATGTCTATGGGCCGCAGCAACCACTCACCATTAGGTGGACTGTGTGCTCGTTTGTCACCCTATACTATAAAAAAAATCATCTTGGTCAGCGTACCTTGTTTACACTGTGAGTTTGAATCCTACCCAACGCTAATATTTTTACACAAATTATAAAGTAATAAACGTCCTAACAGTTTCATTTATGCTATTGTATTGCTATGTAGGCTATTGTAGTCCATGAACACCTGCAACCAACTTTAGACAAATCAGACAAATTTGTTGGGCCCCAGACGCAATATCACTGCTGAGGATCAGATGAATCGGATAAAATGGCTCGAAAACCTGCAGCATGTAATTATAGCACTGGTTCTTCACACGCTTCACACCAGATTACAGGCAGCTAATGCAAGCAGCATTAGGTACGATAGACTTAGGTAAAATAGTCATCCTGGATGAAAAGAGACTTGTAAAAAGTTCTAAGTTTTGTTTCCCGTGTTCACTGTCTCAGATATATATGCACCTATATAAAGTTAAAGTTACAGCCTATATACTTACGTCCCACTGCTGGGCACAGGCCTTCTCTCATTTCTGAGAGGGTTTTAGGGTAAGGAAATGTCCGCCGCGCTGCCCAAAGCGTGTTGGCGTCCTTCACATGTCTTCGAAATATTTTTTTTATTTCTGCGACATGCACATTTCCACACAATGTGTTGCTTCACCGTCGAGTACGTGGTAAATCAGCAACTTAAAGATGCAATTAATAATTTCATTGGTGTCGACGGCGATCGAAACTGGGTAGCTCGCATACTGTGAAATTTACAACGAGCGCTTAGCCCTGAGCTACCACGGCTCTCTCTATAATAATAGAAAGATGTATGCATTGGTGCATGTCAAGAAGTTGAACATGGTTTCGGCGTCAATTGAAATGTACGCAGTGCTCCGGCTTTCTGTTTCGTTGGTATAAAATATGATTTAAAGTTTTTAAAATTAAGTAAATTATTCGAAAGTGTTTACGTCATATTATTTGTGGTAATTAATAAATTATTTTTACAGCACTGGCTCCGTTTGTGCTGCGTGGCGCTTGTCCACAATGCACACCGCAAGAGACAAAACAAATTCAACGCACGTTATCCTACGTGCAAAGAAACTTTCCGCAGCAGTGGGCCAAGATCGTGCGCCAGTATTCCGGCTGAGCAGTATTATTAATAGCTATATTATATAGAAACATTATTTAAGTCTGAACGCAATACAACGATATAAGTGACCTCTTTCTTAATTTAATTTTGACACTATTGTAGATGACTAATTGATTATACATAATTCTAGGTCTTTCAGCCAATGCTATAATAAATTAATATAATAGATTTTTTAAATAATGAAAACAAAAACATACTGTGATAAGTTGAAAGTTGAAACGGAAATAATTTTCTAACCAAAAAATTATTAATGCTTGTACTATACGATTGTGCAAACGTTTAATTTACCTTCAAATGTTTACCCGAATCCGAGGGAATTCGTTCACATTTAGATTAACCGTACCTCCTCATCATAGAGTAACACGGGCCGCCGGCGGAACGGAGGAGAGTAGCCAATAGGCATAGCGTTTTTCCCCGGTACAAATATGTCTGTCATTTTTTGTTCTGCTGTGTGTGTGTACACATTAAAATAAAAGTCTGTCACTACGAAACTCACACATGACATTTAAAATAATAAAATAACAATTTCACACACACATAGATACATTAAAACAGAATCGCTCGGTAACAGCGGCAACTCGGATACAAACTCGAATAATACAATCGACCGATCTGCATTTTGTATGAGAGCGAGCGGCCTGTGTTGATAAGCAAATCCGAAACAACATGATCGTTATTATTGTAATTTTTAAGTTTAAAAGAAGTAAATAGCAATTATGTGATTAAAGTTACTTAAATATAAAAGGTCGTAAACGCCATATTTTTGTAAATTTGACGTGGTAGATCTCTTTTTGCAGAAAAATGTTGAACGATTCGACATTTTTGTAGGACATCGATTCAGCCGCGCATCTAGTAGTCTAGTGAGCAGTGCGTTTGCAACTAATTTTATTGTACGCATAGGACTTTGTGGATTTATATTTTGACAGAGGGGAACGCTTGCGTATGGCTAATCCCCTTCGATACGACGGTGGCCCGTGTTACTCTATGCTCCTTATAGATGACCTAAAATAAAAATAAAACAAATGAAACGAAGATGTTGGATGCCTACATAAAAGTAAAAACCCTGATGCATAAGAGTGCAAGTTTTTGCAAATTTGGGAATTCGATCAAACAGTTTTTTTTCCTTTATTTTGATATGAAAAATATTATAACAATTATTTATCCTGGCACTTAAACATTTAAAAGATTTTTAATGTACCTAGTCTGGCCTGAATTAAAACAACTTAACACATAAACAAAAATATCACAAAAAAAAAAGTAGGCGTATGGGTTTATCTTCTGATCGGCTCAGTGAAGGACTTTTTGAGTAAGCGGTATTTCCGAGTAATTAACGAAGGCTGCTTGTCCGTGCCTAAGATTGCGATTACCGTAGGCCTTCAGGAGCCTGTTCTCTCCGACACTGAGCTGCACTGACCACAGGCGTAAAATAGCCAGCCTTTCAGTGTTCTATAGGATACATTTCGAAGAGAGTGCGTCGTAAGTAGTAACTGCATGACATAATACCTACCTACACATTTCAACATCGGAAAAACAGACGCTCGGCCAGACTCCAATTCTTTATTGTCTTCATACAACACATTCGAACAAAAGTTTGCTTCGGTATTCTTAATGCATACAGCAATGAAGTGTAATAATTTCTTAGCGCCTTCCTTTTCGTCCAATTACAAAGTGATTGTTTCAAAGGCAAGAGTTAATAAGATTTTCTCAAGCTATGTTAGCTTTAAGTTAGTTTTACTATCTCCGGCTGCATCGCAGAATATATAATAACACAACTACTATACTATAATATAGTACTAGTGGGAGCTAGGATAATAGCAGTGGCTTGTAATACTTGAAATTTATTATAATTTTGGACTTTTTTCGTTGTATAAAAATAGCTATGTTGATAATTAAACCTCGAGAACCAAATTATGTACTTTTAGAGTAAAGAAATAAGTCCTTCATATTATTATGTACTTACCCAGCAGCTAATAATGTGTATAATATTTAGTTCCATTTGATTTTATAAAAAAGTTTCTTTAGATATTGTTAGAGAATACGTCTGTTAGATAAATTTGATTTGGTTATAATATTAAATAATACAATTTTTAGATTGATTATTATTTATTCATTTTTAATTTTTGCCCCCATTACTAATGTACTATTACCATGAGTGGAAGGACACAGAACAATATTATTCCCTATTCAGAAAAGAATGCCATCTCCAAACAAAAAAAATTAAACAATAATCTATGTGGTGTATAGTACTAGAGCCGTAGCGGGTGCCCATATGAAACTCTTTTCGCGGGTATTTTAAACCTTTGTACCTACTCTGTAACTTAAACTTTATGTTTATTTTATGGCGGCTACGAGTGTCTAATAGTTTATACAAAAGAAGAGTAAACTAAATTTAACAAAAATAGTAACTCGTAGTACAAAAGGAGTGTTAACTAAATTTAACAAAATTTTAAAATTAAAAATTTTGTACAACCCACTTTAATATAAATTATTAAGAATAACTCAAAAGCTATTAGTCAGACCTTGATCAGAGATCATATTAAAAGTATCAGCTTTCAAACAAAAAAAAAACACATAGAAAAGAACATACAGTCGAATTGAGTAGCACCTCCTTTTTGAAGTCGGTAGAAAACTTAATATTTATTAATGGAGAATGTTTTATGGAAGAAAATTATATAGTGAAAATGTAAGGTTAGGGCAGTTAAAAAAAATATGATCGATCATGCCTTCGTCTATCCCGCACTCACAAATTGAGCTATCTTTAATCTTAGGTTTAGCCAAAAATACAGATGAACAAATGTGTTCCAATCTAACTCTACTTATAACAGATATACTATGTTTGGGGCCATTCCTGAATTTAAAAAAAACATGGTTTAGAGAGGATGTCAGGTTGGAGTTCTGCATAATACGAGTATTTACGGATAGACTTCTGATTTTTTCCCAAAGAGAATTCCAATCTGACTGAATCGCCTGATGGATTTTCGCAGGAGAAATAAGGTCATGAGTATATGTTATATAATGCATTAGGGTACCGGAAGTAGAGCTCATAAGTGGTAGCGCCACGCTGCAGCTATATTAGCTGTAGCCTGTAGCGCGAATGGGTCGGCTCGACGGGCGTGCGACCACGCTTTCACAGAATACCAGTAGAAAACAGCAGCTTAATGCTGCTGTGTAAGTACACGTATGATAAGTGTTCCATCGGCATTCCTCAGGGGTGACAACGTATCCGCATTTTGATTTTTAATTGAGGATAGATGTCGATGTCTATGGGCCACAGCATCCACTTACCATCAGGTGGACTGTGTGCTCGATTATCGCCCATATTCTATTAAAAATAACTTGTTTTGCCAAGGAATTAACAGTTTGTATGCCACTATAACTTGGCAGCCAAGAGAGTTTCAAGTTAAAAACCTTGACAAAAATATCTCTACAGTGCATCTTTTATTTTAAAAATAATTGGGAATTTTGATTTATTTCAAAACGGGTTAGATAAAATGCTTTGTAATAAACTATATGAGTTCCATACATGAGAACAATATATTAAATTATTAGTGTTGTGTTAATTAATTTAAAAAATATTTAAAAAATTAGTAGTTGGTGACAAACGAGCACACAGTCTACCTGATGGTATGTGGTTGCTGCGGCCCATAGACACCTACATCTATCCTAGATTCGAATCAAAATGTAGATGCGTTGTCAACTGTGGTGACTAAGATGGAATGCCTCGTTTCCAGTAGAAAAGGGTATCCAGTTCTCTACAATCACTATACGAAACACAGCAGCGTTAAGCTGCTATTTTACGCTAATATATATGAGATCGTGGTTCTTCACCGGTCGAGCCAACCCATTCGTGCTACAACTATACTACTAATATAGCTGCAGCATGGCTCTACCGCGTAAACAAAAGGCTAATGGAATGGTGAATGGATTATGTACGGATGTGGATGTGGAATATAGAAAGACAGGTATGTGATATCATTACATTTGCAAGATACAACGTTTAACTCTTCACTATGTCTAGGGAGCGAAACCTTGATAAATGATTGTAGCCTATTAACTAAGTTTACATCACCGGCGTAAACATATTTCCTGTCTTCGCGAAGGCAGGCAAAACCAGAAATCCGGAAGCAAGATTTCGGGTGAAGCCAAACTTCTGATAATGCAATAAGAAACGGGTTGTATTTGTTAATAAGGTAAATTTAATCGCCTTTTTGTGTTTAAAGCTGCGACAGTTCCATTGTAGAATGGAACTGTCGCAGCAGTATTTATATTATTTGAAAGCATCGATAGTTTCTCAAGAGACTGGGTTAAATTAGGGAGTAAACAGTGATCGTCAAATTTCGATATGAGATACATAAGTATGGATATAAGAAAATCTATAAAATTTTCGTTTGGGGAAGTATGCCTAACATTATCTTTAGGGCAAGCACTTCCATTAGGAAGAGAACAGCTTTATGGGCTGTATGATCATACGCGTGATCGAATGCAGGAGAACGTGATTTTCTATTTATAAACAAAGTTTTGTGTATTTTTATTACTAGTATGAGGAGTGTCGCTTGCAATATCTAAGCTTACTTTTGATGGGCGAAGTCTTACTGATATTTCATCATAAGCAATGTTCTTGTGATATAGATAGATAGATTGGGCACTTCTGACTACTGTCTGGTGAAATCTGTGTCGCTATATTTCCCTCCTAACTACGATTTCTACGAAGCGCAACGAATGTGGGGATACAAGTCAGCAGATTGGGATGAGATGCGGTATTTCTTTGCATCTCATCCTTGGCGGCAGATCTGCTTCTCCTCTGAAGACCCGTCGAGCTGCGCGGATGCCATAACCAATGTGATACGTCAAGCGATGGTGTATTTCATCCCCTTTGCTGACGTGCCCATTGGTGGTAAAGCTCGCCCATGGTTTAACGCCGGGTGCGCTCGTGCTGAAAAGCACAAGCATATGGCGTACTTATCCTGGATCGATGCTCGAGACCGTAAAGCTCCGGA